GAGAGAGAGAGAGAGAGAGAGAGAGACAACCTCTGTACCGTGTCGTACCAGAGAAGGTTCAGAGAGAGAGGGAGGACAGGTAGGAAGGAGAGAAACAGAGGGACAAAAATCGAGTGAAAAAAACGGGGGGAGGGAGGGAGATAGAAAGTCGGAGAGAAACGGAAGACACACAATGCAAGCGCAAAAGAACTGAAAGAGAAGGACGGGAGAGACGGTGGATACGAAATACGAAATACAGGTAAAGAGAGAATAGAAAAAAGCGGATAATAAAGTGACGCACACGATAAAAATGAAGTTAGAGAGAGAGAGAGAAAGAATATGTCGATGAAGAGGAGAGAAGATATGCAGACAGATAGAGATATGGAGAGCCAAAGAAAAGAGAGAGAAGGACGGCGGAATAAAGTGAAATACGGACAAAAATCAAAAAAAAAAAGGACAGAGAACAGAGAACAGAAGAGAGAGAAGCGAAACGAAAAACGGAAAGAGAAAGACAGCGAAATACAGATAGGCAGAGACAAAGGATGCAGAGAACAGAAAGAGAAAAAGAATGGAATATCGGACAAAGAGCGGTGTACATGGAAGGCAGAAAGAAAAAGAGAGAGAAAGAGGAAGAGAGCGGAGAGTTGGATGGGTGCTGGCTTGTTTAAGCGTGGGTGGGGGTGTCAAATTGAATTACCCCCTCGTTCTACGGCCCCCGGGGACGTTTGCTGGAGCGCTGGCGCTCTCTGTGCTTCTACGTCAGGGCTATGCCCGCTTGTAAATGGGTTTTATCTGCGTGCACCGTTGTACGTGTAGCGGTGTACACGCTATACCTTCATGGAGGCGTTTTCAATTAAAATCAACATCGAGGGTTCCCCCCCCCCCTCTCTCTCTCTCTCTCTCTCTCTCTCTCTAGTTTCCGTAGCATTCTGGTTGTCGTTGGCTTGCTCTCTCGTTTCTGTCGGATCGATCATTCCGTCTCTTTCTATCCTAACTGCGCAAAATCAGATCGTTTTTTTTTCTTGTTTTTCTTTTTTTTCTGTTTTCTTCGTTGCATCTACCGTCGCGTCTCTCCGGTCCGCTCTTGCTCCTTTTATTTTTGGAGATTTCTTTTTTTCGTTCCATTTTATTCGGTAGGCGGGACGGTCGCTCATGAAAAATTCACGGGTTCAATGAAATCTTCGCCGCGCGTTAAACTAATGGAAAGAGGCTCTCGTTGGTAGCGGCGGAGCACTTATTTCAAACTTCCATCTTCCCAGAGGAAAGGAAGCTAAGAGGATAAGGAACCCAACGCTACGATTCCCGCTTCGTATTTTCCGTATTCTCCTTCTGTTCACTTTTTTGTTTCTTGTCGCTGATTTCTTTTCGACGAAGACACCTTTCGCCCGGAGATGAGGGAATATTTGAAGAGTTGTCTGCGCCAGCGAAAAGATTTTTTTCCGCTCGTCTCGGTAAATGGGAGGACGTGACGATGACGTGTTTCGCACGAGATATTTTGTCAAAGTGTAAGAGTGTGAAAAATTCCACTTGACTCTGGTCTCGCAATTACATTCCTATAAAAGTACAAGATACAACACTAAGAGATTTACTGATTTACAAGTATGTAAAATCGAGCATGTATCCAAGCTGATTAAACCTGAAGTAAATAATAAGTTTTTAAACTGCATAACGTAGGAGAATCGAAAGTATTTGGATAGTTATGCAACTGTTCGATCAACCACGAAACATTTACGAAAAATTATTATTTCACCGAATTAAACGCTCGTGTCTACGTTGCATTTTAATGACCCTCCCTGCCCCCTCGATGGTCTGCTCGATGACAGATGATCGATAGAATGTAATAAGTATAATTACAACGGAGGCAGAAAATGGAAACAACCGAGGTAGCAATAATATACCATTTTTCGATTGAACACAAGCAATTATTACTACATTCGTATCGGAAAGTATTACAGAATTTAAACTGATCGGTATAATTTGAAAAGCATTCATTAGCGTGTGCGTATATATCACGCAGAGGGAAGAGTGAAAGAGAGAAATAATTCGTCGAGTGAGCTTTGAGTGTCTGTAAAAACTCAACTCGATTGTTATTTCAGGAATATTCATTTTTTTTAATTTCTCTTTCATTTTTTTTTCTTTTTTTTTTTTTTTTTTTTTTTTTTTTTTTTT